ACCTCCGTCCTCCACCACCGTCTTCCCCTTCACCCCCTCGGAGCTTCTCTACTGCTGCTACTCCAATATAATATAAGCCGGATCTGACTCTCCCGGCGCCGCTATCCCCTTACCCTCGCTACCTTCCGAGATCCCCTATTGGTCTTATGGTCCGGCGTCGCCGGCTCGGAGCTGGTCAAAAGAACCTAAACTTTTCCTCCCTCGTCGGAGATGTACATCGAGTTAAGCTCAGTTTTTTGCCTCGATTAAAGCTGACCGGAGCTTCTTCCGGTATCGTCGGCAAGCAGCCAGCTATCTTCACCACGGCGCCTCCCCTGCTTCACGAAAGACAAGTGATGTGGGCTTGGCCCAACTTGAATTTTCAATTTGGGCTTCTAGGCTCGATGCTTCATGAGGGGAAAAAATGTGGGCTTGGCCCAGTATGAATTTTAAGGTTGGCTTCTAGGCCCACTGTCAATGCCTTCGGCTGGGCCAACGAGAAATATCAGGTTTCTGTTTAAATTAATAGGACCGGCCTCAATGTGTTTAAAATGCTGATTTTCAAAAAAAATTTATGTTTTTGAGCTTGTTGGCTTTTTTTTTTTTTAGAAGTACAAAGTTTTCTGGATTCTAAATCCTGTAGTTTTTAGTGATTATATATTTTATACTGTGAGAAGATACAAGTTTTTTGGGTTCTCAAACCCTGTAGTTTACTCTCGGTGGAATAGTCTAATTCCACCTTCTTCCATCTTTTTGAGATTGATCGTATCTTTTTCCCTCTCGTGGAAAGTGGTCGAAATCCCGAGCTTTATGCCGGGACCTTCAAAGTTACATTGGAAAGTGACCAACCTGAGACTCTCCGGCTTTGCTGCGAAGTCCTTCTGGACGCATCCGAGACATACATTGGATCCGTTGTCTAGCATCTTCTGCGATGATCTATCTGTTCTAAGTTTTATTGCATTTCAATTATGCTGTAGTACTCTGATAGAATGTGCTTAATTCCCTTTCTTTGTACTTTGATCGGTTAAATGAATGAAGTAACTTTGTTGAAAAAAAAAAAAACCTCCATAACACCACCATTTACACCCCTCAAAAAATTAATCATTATGATCGTTGTTGGTCTAATTTGTGTCGTGTCCAACTTTTTCGGAAACTAACTATATTCAATCATGTG